AAGAGAGATGTTCCATGTTCATGACCTCTACATAACATGAGAAACCAAGTTTTGCGGTCAGCTGGTCTTGAACTCGATATACTACGATTATTATGAATTCATGTCATGACCGTGATTATGAGAATACACACGCGTGCTGTAGATTACAGAAACTAAGTGCGTTGTTTGTTGTGATCATGGCGATAATTTATGCAGCTATTAGATGAATAAAGGTGTTAATGTTAGATTCCAAAGTTAAGTACTTTTCGGTAATGTGGCAACAAAAGCACAACCCCCTTGAAGAAGAAAAAGAACATGGTCTTTCATAAATGCAATAAAATAGAAAGTGCCGCATTAATGCTGTAAAGTACGTGCAAGATATTGTAAACATTCTTCAAAAGGCAAGGCATGCACGATAAGCGTTGTCCCTGAAGATTAAACAAGACAACTTTGTCTTAATGATGTCACCAGACAGACCATCCACACATACAGTAGGTTGTCCGATTGGTTTATAGCCAGGACTTGTATAGATAAATTGCAATATTAGCAAATACAGTATGGTAGACATATAGATGTCTTCACTATACCTATTATTAAATAGAGAATATGCAAATTTAAATGGGAAATGGAGAGCTCGTAAAAGTACACAAATTTCATGAACATTTATTAATTTAAGACGTCGGAAGCTTTCAAAATTCGAAGTGCGATATGGTAGGGAAGAACCAAGGGTCTTTTCCTATGTAACGGAAACATTTGACAAGCATTGTACACAACCCTATCTAAGGGTGGTCTAACTTGATCGAGTGCCAGTCAATCATAGTTTGAATGTTTAGCTACTCAGCAGACCCTTTTTGCTTCAAGTGTCAGATACGGTAAGGGCTCTGAGGTACGGTGGAAACCTCTTCACTAACAATAGAGTAATTAAAGTTAGACAACATTTACCGATCAACGACCGATATCGTGATAAAAGACTTAAGAAGAAACTCAAATGGTTGACAATTTTGAAGCAAGAATGTGTGTATTTAGCGGTACTGTTCAGCAGCGTTGCCATTAATATGATAAAAAAACAACAAAGGGTCTTTGTTACTTTGAACATGTAAGTAATACAGGAGACAGTTTTGTGATTGGCATTTGTTTCCAGCTGAGGAGATTCTATTTAAAGACAAACGATCAGCCACCGTTGTGATATCAACGAGTGCAGAAGGCAGAGAAAAGACAGTTTTATTATTATGATACATAAAGATGAATGTATTATTACTGAACAATGGAATGTTTGTATAAATCATTTTGTTTTAAACGATACGGAAGTAAATTATGATAAAATGTATGCAGAAGTGATTGTTTTCTGGGTTATTGAATATGATGAAGATGTTGCAGCGCAGGAAGAGCAAATAAACAACGTTGTAGAAAATACACAATGTTTTCTTTATTATGTTGTCTGGATGTCTTTTTTTATGTAATAGGTCGGCAAACGAGCAGACGGATTACCTTATGGTACTCTGGACACTCGCAACGGAGGAATTACGAGTGCGTTGCCGACCTTTTAGGGATTAGGGATTTGGAGATTTCGGGGTTGAGGAGGGATTGGGGGAGGGGAAGGATTGGACCTGCAGTAACCTCACTCACACGGCGAAACACAACGCTGTGGTTATTTCACGTCGGTTTTCTGTGAGGCCGTGGTATCACTCCGGTCGGGCCGACCCATTTAGCCGAAGCATGGCTCTCCCACACTTAAATATCAGATAAAGCGATTGCATACATACTGCTTACCCATGCTTTTGTATACTTACTAAACATAATGTTTTGTTATACATCTTTCTTTATGAACTTTAAAATGTATAACATAGGAAATTGGCAAACCATTCTGTAAGGCAATCTGAGCTGTGCCGTAAAATTGATGTTGATTTGCTTTATTTCTCTTTTATTACAGAAACGGAATGATTCGCTTTTCTCCTTTTGTTTAAAAAGAAATTGTAAAACGTTTTATGGGTAGTATTACTAGGAGGCTATCAAATGTATGTTATTATAGTTAATATATATTTTATAATTAGTTTTAATTGTAAAGCAAAAATCAAGTTTGTAAGATGGAAAACATCAAACGCTTCTGACATTTTAGCCTATAATGACCATGTTCATACATAGTCATTATAGGGCTAATATAATAAGTGTGGGAGAGCCATGCTTCGGCACGAATGGGTCGGCTCGACCGGAGTGATACCACGGCCTCATAGAAAACCGGCGTGAAACAACCCACAGCGTTGTGTTTCGCCGTGTGAGTGAGGTTACCGGAGGCCCAATCCCTCCCCTTCCCCTATCCCTTCCCGATCCTTATATCCGCAACCCCTATCCCCAAAAGGCTGGCAACGCACTCGTAACTCTTTTGGTGTTGCGGGTGTCCATGGGCGGCGCCGATTGCTTACCATCAGGTAATCCGTCTGCTCGTTTGCCGACTTATACCATCAAAAAAGGCGTAGAAAATAAATAAATGACCACAAGACGAACAAAGGAAATTAAGATAAACAATAATGTAATTACGTTTATCAAAGCTCTTATCACAGACGCCTCAAACCATTAAATCCAGACATTCGGAACCCAAATCAAATTGAGACCGGAAACATCTGTAGGCTGGCAATAAAATGGAAGTGATATACATATAATGTTGCCAACAATCTGTAGATATTTAGTACAATTTCGTGGGTTTTAGTGCTATTTTCTTTTTTTGAACCGTTGAAAATAGACACTAGGATGTTCTTCTGCGTCGTGGGTGCGTTTCATCATCATCATCATTATCATCAGCCTGATGTCGTTCACTGCTGGACATAGGCCTCCCCAATTGCACGTCACTGAGCTCGATGTTCAGCTCTTCTCATCCAACCACTACCAGCCACCCTGCGGATGTCGTCAGTCCACCTAGCTGGAGGGCGTGGGTGCGTTTACAACATACAATTCCACATTCCCATCACAACAAGACCCGAAACAACAATTTGTGAACACTAAGAGTTGTTCGGTGCTGGAATCGAGCAGTTGGCCAGCCACCGTGCCAACCGGGCAGTCGGAATTAATCATCGGTGCGGGAATCGAACCCGCGACACGTTGCGAGGCAGCCAGTTGTCAACCGTGCAGTCGGAATTAATCACGATACAGTGGTGAATGTCTGGATTCACAAGCCTTTATACATGGTGACATTCGCAAACCATTACGAGGTCAAAAAGATTACCGTAAATAATATCCATGACTCTAGGTATATGCTTAATGGATTATATCGATTAGATGTATTGCTTGCGTGCAATATGGTTCAGAAAAATACTTAATGTGTGGGAAATCGCTTCCGCTTTTTTTGATAAAATCGTCTCGTGGACTTGGAAAAATACTTTGTGTTGGGAATTTCTTTGGCTTTCTATGACAATGGCGTCTCGTCAACGGCTGAATGTACACTAAATAAAAGATAAATAATAATCTGTTTTTTATTGTGTTATCGCTATCATTATCCATTAAATAGCTACTTTAAGGTCATCGTTCTAGTTTCTTTTTCTCGTGATAAGCTTTAATAAAGGTTTATCCAACAGAAACAAATATCGGTCAAACTCCACTTAAAAGATTCTAAAAATCTTTTACGAATTCATCGCGACATTTAAATTGGCTCATGGCTAAATTGAGTTAATGGTCATTTGTAAACTGTTAAATAAAAATGACTAACATTTCTCACTATTTTGATTTTGAACAATTCACTTCTTCTGTAGAATAAGGTACGAATCAACACAAAAACTCTTGAGTAGTTCTTTTATGGGATAGGTTCAGATAGGTGCAGGGAGCGGGCAGTCCGATTCCTTGACGGCAAGCAATCGGCGCCGCTCATGGATACTCTTATTGCCGGTCTTTTTGGGTTGTTAGCAAGATATCTTATTTATTAAACCTCCATTATTATATCTCTTTCTCTCGCTGCTATTCTATCTCATTCTCCATTATACCACAGTCCACCAGAATTGTATAGGTGATATATAAATAAGTTAAATATGTACTCAGTATATGCAGGTCAGATCCTGCACTCGCACGCTAACCTTGTATGTTCTTCTCGTAAATGACCGGACAAAGGATCATGAGCTACGAATAATTACTTATGATGACGGTACGTATCGAGGAAATCAATGTTTGATAATTGACTTTACGACTCGATGATAAAAAAGATACAAAATGGCAAAAATAGAACTATGTCACGGTACTCATATACGTGCCAGTTGAAATATTAGCAATGAGACCGACATCTCCAATCTACAACTAGCATAACAAAACATGTAAAAAAAACAATGCTAAAAAATCTATCTAACGGACATTAATTTACACGTATGTATAAATCGGTAGACAACCATATAATATGGCACAAAATGCCGTATGTAGACAAGTAAACAAAATCAAAGAAACCCTTCTCTTTACTTACAAGGAGCATACTTCCAACGCATCATACCATATTCAAAGCAAGATAATTGGAAGGCGATTGAAAACAAACTTCTTCCTGATATTGTATTCTGATTTCAGTGATTACTTGCCTTATTCAGTGTGCAGTCAGCTGAATGTTGCGACACGACAATTTATGTTCCTTATCAAGCGGCTAGACGGAGCTCTCAAAGGGATCGGAATACTATACTTATATAAACAAGAGTTCGTTGCCTTTTAACATCCGATTAGCATCTTACAACATTATTGGTCTTTATAAATTTTCGGGCACAGTTTGATAAAGAAAACGCGGCTTTAAGAAGCGTAGGAACATGGGTTCGACACGCAGCGCCTCTCAGGAATTTTAATATAAAATGGAAGGGACATTAACAGACGCTTTCTACTGCGGAACTATAGACATAAGTATAATATGGGTTGCTCCCTAGTGGCTGCAAGAATTGTGTTGTGGGTTACTTACTATAATTGATTGGGTATGAGGAAAAATACATTAAGTATCAAATAGCCTTTCAGGGTAGACATCGAGTTATTTTCTTCTTAGCTAAGTTGCGAGACAAAAGATGACAACTTACCCGAGTATAACGAGTTCTCCATATTTGATGAGAGGCTTTGGCTTCTGTTCCGAGCCGCTCTCGCCGGCCTCCTCCAGTATTGGTGAGTCCGCACTGTCCGCAGCACTGAAACAACGAAACACATCGTGTAAACAATTCATGCAACCAAGATCTGTTGAAGATAGTAAAAAAACAAGAGAATGCTTATTATGTTATGGTACTTTGTTCATATCTTCTACGTCTAATACAAACTAACATCAGCTCAACATAGCAAACAATGTCGTGGTTAAGAAGGAATCATGTTTTAATAAGCCAAGCTTTGTCGGACTAGTCATCAACAGGATTACCACCCACAAGTTTTATTGAGTATGCGTCCATGTACTTCCTCCCAAAAGATCTCATTGATATGACGGGTCAAGCCTTTGCATCAGGCTCAGAAACTGGTTCGAGACAGCTGTGGGTCAAGATTAGTGGTAAATTATAACCACGCCCGTAGGAACCGGTTGAGTACGATGCACCGACACTTACGCAAGCCACATAAACCTAACAATTAATAAAGTTATTAAACAACAAAACTATTTAAATATCTATGAACTAATTAGACGATGTCTAACGTCTAACATTTTGCAGGAGTAGGATTCACTTTGTCCTGAACCTAAACACAATTTTGTGTGCTTTGAGTGCTTTATCGATCAGTGATAAGTTATCGCCTGCCTGGCCTGCGAACTAGGCCACTCTATCTCCTAACATATACTTTCAGCGACCAAGTATATGTACCTGTTGTTGGCGCAGTTCTACTATCGCTTTGTTATGATTTATGACCGATTATTATTTGTATGTCAATGCTATATAATTATCGAGGCACAAAGAAATGCTATCAAATGGCGCCGTTCATAATAAGTTACAAATTGAACGAGCGGAGGATAGCAAGGACAGCGCCGGCCACAGCGTCCCTGATTACGGGCACGGGGTCAAAGCCCTCCATCTCCCGCCACCCCCTTCACTCCTGCCTCGACTATGGACAGTCATCTAATGCCGACCCACAATTACTGACCCAACATTTAACTAATAACACTATCTGGACGGTCCATTGTCGACATGGAATATTATAAATTATTTGAAACAAAGGCGGCGAGATTTCTATAGCTCTAATAACAATCAGCACTTTTAAATTGAGTCAGATAATCTAGATTACAGCCATTCGTTAGTAATGGTTCCTTGTTTTAGTATTGCATAAAAACGCGGCGGTTGATTCCGTGACACTAACAATTAACTTCATTTGCATGTCTGACTATCATTTTTTCCGCACGGTTCTTCCGCTTGTCTCACCTTTGTCTGATGCTACGATTTTTGATCTGATTTACATTTGATATGTTGCTTTTTGTGGAAAAAGTGTAGAAGCAAACAGAAGGAAACAATAGGGTAATACACTCTTAGCGTTATCGTAGTAATATTTCTAAGAATTACTATGGAGGTGATTCACGTCACAGTTCCTCATAGTTCCTATCGACTATAGCACCGACTGTTCGGCACACTAAGCACGTGGCGATAAAAGGCTACGTTGCATCCGGTTTTGCCGCAACACACCAAATGCGTCGAATGTGGGAACGCCGGAAGTTTACGAAGAATCACTCCTACACGACGAGAATTCAGTTGACTCATTTCATAAAATACAAACGCATGGTTATAGTGAGCAAGACAATTCAGTCTCCACACCTACTCAATGTGGACGCAACTTGATCATGGATCCAAACCAGTTTTCTACGTACTCGCAGTTTCAATGAAGTTACCTACTCTCGAAACTGAACGAAAATAACATTGTGCTATTGTATCCCTTGTTGTGCTTGTACTTTCACCATCCGTAGTCACGATTTCAAGGTTTAAGCTGTCTTGTAGTCAGATACGAACACTTTTACCTCGACCACCGACTGGGCTTTCCCAATCACCGGTATTATCTATCTAATAGTATGCAATCTAACAATCGAATTCGAGTAAATTGATTCAAAGGAATCCGAATTAGCCATTGTATTATTTTCATCATATTGAAATAGCTCTTTGGATATTCTGATAGCATAATATTAAATAAAACATATTAGGGACTTATTTCGTAATTTGCGAGCTAAAAGGCGATAGAACAGTTTATGACTGTGTACAAAAACAATATCAATAATTTATAGGAGATACCAAGAATACATTATTACATAACATTGTAAAATGTCAGGAATTCACAAATAAAAACCAGTCAAAGGTAGTGTAGTCAGCCACAAAGTGTAATCAACTGCCAATGAGCAACGGCCGGTGATCCAACGGTCATTTTTTTATAAGAGGCGGAAATTACTTCGAATCGACGCTCTATCCGGACCCGAAGCGATTTATGTCTGCTTCGGATTCGATGACACACCTTAACGTAGAAGGGATCGCAAGTGGATGTAGGCACGACTCAGCTGCGGAGTTTATTAGTTATCGTAAGACCCTCAGAAGGCCATAAAATGATTATAACGTAACAATAAGAACGAATGCTGTCATGCGAAATATTATTAAGCACATAGATTGAAGTAAAAACAGCCAATGGATTTTGAGCCTGTTTTGGGGCTTTGGGCATAGTGATAAAAATGTATGATTATAATATAAATGCGCTTTATTTTTGCAAATCTTATTTACCCGAACGGAATAGTTATAGAAGATGTATGATAATTTGACAATAATACTAAAATATGGTAAAAGAACCAATCACAATTTAAATAAATGACATTGATTTGATTGTGATTTCAAGATCGACAATACTACTTACAATGGTAGTAGTTAAATAGGAACTATTTCTTTTAGAATCTCAGGAAAATAATTACCATTAGTTATTGTGTGGTCCTAAGGTAATAAAGTACCACGGTTCCACACTTGATTGGAACTCACGAATCATTAAATCATCAGAAATGTTCTGAAGTTTAGTGTGTAGAACAATTTAAGTATGACTTCAAACTTGATCAAAAAATGACAGCTTGATCGAATTCTATGTTATTAAAAGTGCCCATAAATTACAAACTGATGACTGACAGATTTTTTTTCAGATTTTCTCGTGGTGGTTGTGAAAAATCCTGTGGCCCCGCTTCGGTTTGACGTTGAGTTCTGGGACACTCTGTATTTAATAATAATAATTTGTGATAACATGTGTAAATAATAAACTAACCGCGTCTATGACCCGAAGCATGATGGACCGTTTGTAGCGGTTCATAAGGTCATTGCTCAGTAGTTGAGTTGTCGTTTAAAGATACCAACATGACGAGGCATAAGTCCAAAGAAAATCTCATTGGTTGTCAAGAAAACCAAATGATGTTCAAAACTAAGGTTTTTGTGTGAAGGGTAAACCAACAAATGGCTTCTCCTGCCCAGGGTAGGGCCGGAGGGAGTGTCACTCTTACTGACTTGACTGAAATCCCCGTTCCTTCTCCTGCTCTGGGCCGATTCCGTGGTGCTTTATTGCGACTACCCTGCTACCCCAAGCTAAGGTAAGGCATATGATTATAATACAGCTAGTGGTTGCTATTTCCCGAAGCCAATGGGGCGTAAATCAGTAATATATGCTCATAAATACAGCAATAGGTAGTGGCTCAAGGTATGTGATGACAATAAACGCATGATTAACGATAAAATTCTGACCTAGTAAGTAGTTAACCTTCTTCAAATTAACTACGTACTAACCTCATTATTAGTATGACATTATAAGAAGTAAGGTACATTGCATTTTTAGGCTTAGGCTGAATATTAAGAACATTCAACTTCTAATATAATCTGTACTAGCTAGGTTGTATTCTAAATCACAACATAGGTAGTATAAAACAAAGTCGCTTTCTCTGTCCCTATATTCCTATGTACGCTTAATGTAATCTTTAGAAGTACAAAACGGATTTAGATGCAACTTTGTTTTAAATATTGAGTGACTTAAGAGGAGGTTTTATGTCAATCACCCATTAAATAGTGGATAAATTTAGTATCAGTATTGGACCCGGGAGAAGCAGAGGTGCTAAAGTATGAAAATAAAAATACAAATAAACACACAATTGAAGTATAATAAGATACTAAACTTAGCGCATAGCTTTCAAAACAACGACAGCTGTCAGTATTGTCTTAAAATTTTATTAATATTACATGCTCGACTCGAAATATACCAATTCTAGTAGGTAGAATTACATTCCCACCGAACAAGAAACCACCGTGAGACTAGGTAACAAAATATCTACCGCCTTTCAATAATCACTTAATTTGACACATCTTGAATTACCGACAACAATAAAAAATTGGCAATACTATGCAATGAACGAGGCCAAGTGATGCCATGCGGTCAGCGAACCGTAACATGTCGGCACTCGTATGCGGCCATGCGCACACGCAGCGATCAGAGGGGTGACCTTCCGAATAAGCAACCAAATTCAATTGACTATCTGACCATTAAATCATTTCAAAAACGCTGACTTTTATATCCGACTGGATTACCAAAAGCGCGTGGCACGTGCCGGCTTTAAGATCCGAATGAGGGGTGCATTAAATTAATCGGCCGTTTAATAAATTCAGTGCCGACCTTTGCAAATGGCAGCTTTGAAGTGACTTTTGTATCTATGTTCAGAAATAGCACATTGCTGTTGTAGGAAATGGGGAAGAGCCTCTAAGGCAAGCAAAACGCACACATCTGTCGAGCAGGTGTCAGCCGATGCAATATTCAAGGCAGGTGTCGAAGAGCGGTGGCGTTAATTGTTTAAGAATAGAATTAGAAAACATTTTTATTTTTATAAAAGAATAAATGGCCGAATCAACCATTGGTTTATTGACGAACAATTTTATTTTCATACACATTTCTACGAAGTAATTCAATAAAGTGCAATACGAATTTCGAAAGTTACTCGTACGAATTCGTCTAAAAACATGACCCTATTTTTGTTTGATTTACAGTTTTCCTTTTCTTATTGAATCATTGCTTGAACCGTTATCACGGCTCGACAGGTTAACCGAGGGGGTTTTACGCGTTTAATTTTTATGAGTAAGCTTTTAGCTTTAATGCTCGATTTTTATCAACCTATTTTCAGAAGACTTTACAGGAAATTTGGTGACATAAGTAGGTAATGTTAAAAGGAGAA